TCTTTAGCGTGGGTCTCCATTCAGTTGCTGCCCAACATTGGTTATATGGTTTTTCCTTACAATCCCCTCTGTAACATGTTAGATAGTAATTTATTTTCCACATGGACAGGCTGCAGCGTAGTTATTGGGATTGTCTGCAAGTAATTGTGGATCTCAGACACTCCATTTACTTTCGCTGTCGTTGAGACCCATAAGAGGCACAGAGATTTGATCTGTTGCTTTCTCCACTCAGACGAACAGAACATTTTGCTGACATTTTGGATTCATGAAGGACTAACAGATGAACCTCTAGGACCAGGAAAAACTAATAATTCCCTGCTCTGGCATCATTTTGTCCCTTCCATGCATTCTTCTAGAACTTATTTAGAACAAACGAGTGGGAAAGCTCTCTTCCATTTGGGATTGGCCTGCTAATCAATAATCAACCTGTCTTGTAACCATCTGTTTTCAAGAATCATTTTCCCCATCAAGCATTTCTCTGGGGTAAGGTATGCTGCTTTGCCACACCACTGTATGTCTTCTCCTTGGTGATGGTCCTGGGACCACCCCTCAGTTGTCCCAGAGTGACTGTCACTTTGCTGCATGATCTTGTAGACCCACATGCCATCAGCAGCCAGTGTCAGGCTGCCTACTTTGTATGGCAGATCTTTTCCTTTGGTTATTGTCTAGATGCAGAGTAAGCTATTTGTTCTCTTTGCAGAGACATGTGGTGCCTTTGGAGACAGGGGTTTTCTTTCAATAATTTTTGAAAAACTTTATTCTTAATAGTCTGTGGTAAAATTAATTATTTGGGGGGCTTGATAGGGGCCCATCAGGAGCTGCTGAGCTGTAGAAAGATTACATCCCCATAGGATATGCATTGAAAGATGGCTCTATTAGTTAATTGATTGATTTTTCCATGTTCAATTACAGTTGTCCCAATTTTCCCGTTTCTTTCCCCCATGTTGCCCATGCCTCACTCCCTCAGTCAATCCCCATCCTGTAGTGCATTATACATGTTCTGGCTGTATTAATTTAAATGGGAGAATCTCAGCCAATTCATAAACAGAACTTGGTGGGATTGAGTGGTAATTTCGAATTATGAAGTTGGGACATTTCAGTGAATAATTCTTATTGCCTTGATTATAGATGTTCATATTTGGGTTTTCCCAAGCATCCAACATTCTATAAATACATAATAAACATTAAATGCCACGGTGGTTGAAAACTGTTATTGCAAATTTCTTTGTATAGCAAAAAAGTTCATGTATTCCCCATCATTTTGTGGAAAGCAGAACTTGGTGAAAAGGAACACAAAGGAAGCATTTCCCACATGCTTTTATAAAATTTAAGTTGTCTTTTGTATTGGAAGTTGTCATTATTGATAAGAAGAAAGATTGTCCCAGGATGTAGCTGAATGCCTTTCCATCACCCCAAAAAGCAGTCAGGGAGCAAATTGTGCAATAAATAAGATACCCTATGAAGTGCTCGTTGAAAGAATATGAGAAATCCCCATGGAGGTACTTCAGGGGCATAGTCAGCTCAGTCCATGGTGTTTTTCTTCTGTGACTGGTCACACTGGACAGTAGTCCACAATGACTTGTAACCCTGACCGATGTGACTCAGTTGATTGTGTGTTTTCCCACAAAGTGAAAAGTCGCTGGTTTGATTCCCGGTCAGGGCACGTGCCTGGGTTGAGGAGTTGGGCCCCAGTTGGGGTGTATACTAGAGGCAACTGATTGATGTTTCTCTCTTATATCAGTGTTTCTCTCCCTTTCTTCCCCTCACTCTAAAAATAAATAAAATAAATAAATAAATAAAATCTAAAAAAAAACATATTTAGAACTTGGTATGTCAGTATTTTTAAAAACAGTATCAGCTCAAATGTCCCCAAAGACTGAAGGTTTTGGGAGTTCAAGAACATTATATGTTGTTCTAGGATTCAGCTCTGTTTGTAATGAATAAATACAGAGAAAGAAAATGGCACCATCCCAGATGGATTAAGAAGTATAAATAATGGTAAATTATTACCAAATTACCAATTGCATTTTGTTTACTAGGTGGTTCATTTCAATCTCAAGATTGTTAACATTGTCATGAGAAAGTATCATTCAGTAATTATAAGGAAATAAATGTATGAGTATCTGTCAGTCAAGAAAACAACTTGCTTGATACTTGACCAAGTGCTGCAGTTTTATTAGTCACCTACATAAAACACTCAGAGAATTATATATTTTTAAATGTTAGGATGACTTAACAAAAATACCTGCTCTTTAGTCATTCTTCCTGTGTGAGCAGTGGCAAGTCTTTCTCGGGCTGCTCTTCTTAGAGTCTGTACTCTCAGGGTCTCTGGCTGCACCTACATCACCTACATTCCTGGTCACTGTCTTGCAGGTGGTTGGGGAAACACCTCAAAGGGGAAGAAGAAGATTGGAAGAAATGTAACAACTCAGAGCTTATGCCCTCTCCTCTTCAGCAGCAACGTGATCCAATGGCACAAGCCTAGAGTTTGAATTCACACAAGCCTGGTTTCTAGCTATTTCCCTGCCAGTCACTGGCTGTATGACCTTGGATGGATTATTTAGTGCTCTGAGCCTCAGCTTTATCTTTTATAAAAATGGATATACCACTACTGCTCTTAACAGCTGCCTTAAGACATAGTTGTGAGATTTAAATGAAGTAACATATGCCAGGTACCTAGCACAATTTCTAGCATATAGCTAGTCAATAAATGCTAGCTTTTCTTTACTACTCCCCTTTACATTTTTTTTTTGATCCAGCCTTTTCCTTCTGGATTTCTGCTCTTGGAGAAAACTGTGAGCATGACCATGTTAGTGCAGAAAGGCAGTCATTTAGTTCTTCATCTACACCATTGAAATTGCTCCTGAGGTTAAATTGCTAAACCTAATGGACACATATCAGCCCTTGTCTTACTTCGTACCATTTAACTTACTTAACTTTGAGAATAAAATGTCTCCATACTCCTAGTAAAGGTCTGACTTTACTACAGCTTTAGCAACAACCACCAGAACAGGTTTAAAACTTTTAAATTAATCAACAGCAGTTCTATGACTGTGTTAACAAGCAATCTTTGGAACCCATTTTAAACATCTCTAATTGGTTAGTGACAACTCACTTCATTGTACATGCCTGTGAAAATCAACAAGTCAGTGATATTCTGACTCTTAGAAACACATATTTGGCAACGGTCTTGCTCCAGGGAACACTCTTCCAAGGCTGACAGCAGTCCACCCTTATCTCTCGTGTTGACCAACTCAAACACGAACAAATGCATCCCCACAAAAATCTATATTTGATTCACAATTCACTTCCCTCAATGGCTCTGTCTGACCAATATAGCTCTTCCTAGCATTAGGAAGCAATAAATTCAGCTTTGGTTTTTGTTTCTGATTTTCTCTGATAGTTTTATCTTTTGATAATTTTACACATGGGGCTAAAACTCAGCCACAATAGACTGACTCAGACATTATGGCTTCTTCCCAGTCTTCACTTGCTCCTTATTCTACTCTGCCCTTAAATCTTGCTGTTCCTTAAGCTTTGGTCTTTGGCCCCTCTGGCTCCCCACACTCTTTGAGTGATCTCTTCCCCTCTGGTGGTTTTTAGCTGTGATCTTAATGAATCGCAAATACATATTGCTACATAGGAATGTTTTTACTTACAAGTTCATCTGTCCACTGGATAGTTTCACATGATGCTGCACAGATATCTCAGATTTGACATTTCTTAAACTGAAATTCATCTTCACACTCAAATCTGCTACTTCTATATCCTAAGGGCCAGTGACCTAGGCTAAAACCTAAATAACCTGTCCTATTCTGTTCCTATGTGTAAAGCAAAGTTAAAGAAGTTTTACTTTCTGCATATCTATGTGTCTGCCCTCTCTTTAATGTACCATTCTCATTTTTTGCTTCTAACATTACAACAGTTCCCTAGTCCCTCTGACTTTTTAGTCTTTCCCCTTCTGACTCCCTACTCTGGTCAGAGTGATCTAGGTAACACTGTACCAATTTCCAATGTTTTGCTCAACTGCAAATAAGAGAAAACACAACTAGTGGTGATGTAAGTACTACAACATCAGTTTTCTCACATATGAGGGTTTATCTAAAGGCATCTGTCCAGGGCTTGTTCAGTGATTACATGACATGATTAAGGGCCCTGGTTCTTTATTTCTACTTTGTTATTCACTGCTGGCTTTTTACTTTCATACTTGAGGTGCTATGTGTTGCATCCAGCAAACTTGAGAATGAATATTGGAGACTTTTAGGGTATCAAAGATGTTACTTTATTGGCCAAGTTTAACCTGCGCAGGGGCGAACTCTCCAAATGTGCCTGAGGCACACGGCTACTAGGAGCCACAACTGAGAGCCGCGCCAAACGCTTACAACTACGTTCTTATATAGGGGCAGGCAAGCAAGCGTTATACAGAAGCAGACGTGACAGTTAGTAATTCGCTTACAAAGACCGCGCGCGGGAATTTCAAACCAAGCATTCTTTCATAAGGCGGGAAGGCTGTTTGTTCATTAACCTAGTAATCTCCTGGCTCCAGCCAGCTAGCCTTCTATCTTCTTACCAAAAAAAAAACTACAAAGCACTGCTTATCTAGCCTACCCTGGGGGAGAACGTCTGCTAGATACAGGAAGCTCTGCTTACTGTACTCTGTCTCTTTTATCATTTCTTTTTTTAGCTACAATGTGGTTCTTGTCTATTAAGGTTAAACTTAGTTCTTAATTTTCTTGTTCCCAACATTCCCCCATTTTCTCTTGGGGGTAATCAAACCATTGATTCATCACTTGGAAGGATGGTATAGGGCTGGGACAGTACCATTAGCTTAACTACTTCTATCCTTTAATGAAATTAAGTAACTTATTTAGTATAAGGGGCCCAAATATAAGGGCTATAACTATTAACAGTAATGGACCTGCTATTGCAGATAGCAGAGTGGTTAGCCAAGGAGATAGTCTAAACATAGAGGCATACCAGTTTGTATCTTCATCTTCTCTTCATCGGTCTTTTAGTCTTTTTGTTAAGGTTTTGATATTTTCTTTAATAACACCAGAGTGGTTAGCATAGAAACAACATTCTTCCCCTAGTGCTGCACACAATCCTCCTTGTTGTAAAAATAGGAGATCTAAGCCTCTCCTATTCTGTAGTGCTACTGCTGCAAGGGAGTCTACTTGTCTTTCTAAGTATATTATTTGATCTTGGAGTAGAGTGATGTCTTTTGAGAACGTTTGGGATAGTTGCCTGAGACTTGTTTCACCTTTCACTAGGGCAGTGGTTCCTACAACAGCTGATCCTGCTATCCCTAAAGTGGCTAGGATAGGGATCAACAGTGGGGTTCTTTTTACTCTCTCTGAGGAGTCAGTTAAGAACTCAGGGTTACCTCCATATAGATACACCTGTGGGATTATGTATGCGCTTACACAAAATTCTGGGTTAGTCAGCATGAGACACTTATAGATCCCTTGGGTACATATGAACCATATGCCTTCTGGGGCTTTTAACAATGAGGTTTTATCAGAAGCCGGCATAAACTCTTGATTCAAACAATAATCTGTATAATTTGAGCCAGGTGAGGTGAGATTTCCTGTAAAGTAGCAAGTACCCTTCCCATGGAACTCTGCTAGGGTTAAGGATCCTTCAGTGAAGCACTCTTCTATTTGGCTCTGCTCTCGATGGGAATCTGTGTCTGTTAAGTTTATTTTGACAAATCCTCCTGTCCCTGTGGAATTCATCCCTAACCCTACATAGAACGGAGGCCGCGGGCTCAGGCACAGCCAACAAGACTCGGTTATCTCTGGCTGAGTTTCACTGAATAGTGGGAATACTTTCTCTACTATTCCTAGGGCATTCGCCCCTTGTCTCGGGTATATTTCATAACCTAGTTCAGCCTTGGTAGGGACTCGGGTTACTTCTTCCTTATGTATGCTTCCTTCCGTTACAGAGTCATTCAAGTTCTCGGGGCTACTGGTAATATTATAGTCAGGGCCGTTAGTGGTCCTAGTCAGAGGGGGCTGTGGTCTAGGCGGTAATCTTCCTTTACCCCTAAGCAGGGGTCGGCCCTGTATGGGCAGTTGCTTAACAGTAAAGAATGTACCCGGGTCAGTTCCCCGTACATAAAGTCTAAGTCCCCACGTTCTTCCTTTCTTCCACTCTAGATCGCTGGGATTGAGCACTGTAATAACCGTTGGGTTACAATTATCGGCAGGGCAATCTTTATCCCAGCCGTCTCCTGGGGTCTTCGTCTTTTCTCGCCTCAGCTGAATATGTCTGTCTTGCCCTCCCCCAGGAGTCCATTCAGTTCTTTCTACTAAGGTTTCACATCCCCAGTTCTTGCAATAGTAGTCTGGCCCTGACCCACAAGTCCTCCGCTTACTGGATGGCGGTTCTGGGCACCCATAGGAAGTAGTATACCACAGAGCCCTATTTAGGGAGCTGGAGCACCTCTCACAGGTGCCAGCATTGGCCCACGTACCCCCTTGCAATGGGGCACGTGGGCTGTTTGGCAACAGTCTCATATCTCCCCTGTAGCAAAGTTTATCATCAAAGAATTTTGACAAGTCTGTTTTTAAGGTTACGGGAGCGTTTCCCCAGGTGTGGTTGGAAGCTATTACTATGCCATCTACAGTTCTTATTAGTACCCATTCCTGCTTCTCTAAGGAGCTAGTGCCCACTACCCCAGCAGCAAGGGTCAGGCACGAGAGAAGGTAAGCTTTAAGGGACAGTCTGGGTCCTTTTTTACTGTCCATGTTTGAACTCCTCCCTCGGGATCGTCTGCTGGCTTGGTGTGAGAGAAATGTATCCAATAGGGCTTTTCCGCTACCTTGACTACAGATGGCGTGCTCAGCAATACCTGGTACGGTCCTGTCCACCGTGGCTCAAGATTCCCCTGTCGGTGGTTTCGAACCCATACCCATTGTCCAGGTTCAGGTGGTGTACAGTTCTGGGGCTGGTCGCTGGAGTTGACCACGCCCTGGCCTCGCAGCCGTCTGACCTCACTCCGGATCTCTTGTAGTGCCTGCAAAGACTTGAGGAAGTTATGGTTAGTCATGCTTTTCTCTTGTTACATGTGGTACCAAAGGAACAGGTTGTCCAAACATGAGTTCATAAGGGGTCCATTTTTCAAAATATGGGGTACATCTGATTCTAAAGAGGGCGAAAGGAAGGAGCTCAGTCCAGTTTTCGCCGGTCTCCTCTCTTAATTTAGTTATGGTTTCTTTTAATGTTCTATTCATTCTTTCTACTTGCCCTGAACTCTGGGGGCCTATAGATGCAATGGAGTTTCCAGTTTATTTTCAGCTTAGCTGCTAACTCTTGTGACACCTTGGATACAAAGGCCGGCCCGTTGTCTGAACCTATTGCTAATGGGATACCGTACCTGGGTATAATTTCTCTTAAGAGTATCTTACAAACTATAGAAGCCGTTTCTCCTCGGGTGGGGAACGCTTCCACCCACCCCGAAAACGTGTCCACTAACACTAATAAGTACTTGTATCCTGACTTCCCTGGAGTCATTTCTGTGAAATCTATTTCCCACAACTCTCCTGGTGCCTTCCCTCGGTATCTCACAAGTGATGGTAATTTCTTATTTGATGCGTTTACCTTTGCACAGGTCTGGCACCTAGTTGTGACTGACCGGATAGTGTCTCTGAGATTAGGCCCAAGATAATATTTCTTGACTAGTTGTTCTAACTTATTTTGCCCTAGGTGGGTACTTCTATGAATTTCTTCAACGATTTGTCTTAGGACTCCCCGGGGTAGGTAAAGTCTCGAGTCCGGCAGCTCTATCCATCCCCGCTGATTTTGGATTCCTCTCAATTTCTCTCCCTCTTGTTTTTCTTCAGAGGTGTAACTTGGCTGGGTGGATATTCTTGGTTGAGGTAAAAGGGGAAGTACAGTTTCTAGGGGGCCCAATGCTGCCTGCTTGGCAGCCGAGTCGGCCAAACGATTTCCTCTTTCTGCTGGGGAGTCTCCCTTTTGGTGTCCCTTGCAGTGGATAATAGCAACCTTAGCTGGCAACCATATGGCATCCAGTAGAGCGAGGATTTCATCCTTGTTCTTAATGTTCTTGCCTCCTGCAGTTAGGAGGCCCCGCTCTTTGTATATTGCTCCGTGTACGTGGGCGGTGGCAAAAGCATACCGGCTGTCAGTGTAAATGTTTGCAGTTTTCCCTTCCGCTTTTCGCAGTGCCTGGGCGAGTCCAATCAGTTCGGCCCGCTGGGCCGATGTTCCTGCAGGAAGAGCCCTCTGCCATAATACTTCGTCTACAGTGGTCACTGCCGTTCCCGCACGTCTCAGTCCTCTCTCTATAAAACTGCTGCCATCTGTGAACAAGGTCAGGTCGACCTTGCTGTATGGCTGATCCTTCAGGTCTGGGCGGGAACCTGTCACTGTATCGAGTACCTGCTTGCAGTTATGAGTTATTGTGGAGTCTGGCTCAGGCAAGAGGGTAGCTGGGTTGAGCGCCGTAGTTTTCAAGAACTGAACCGACGGCGGATTGAGTAATTGAGCTTGGTAGTGCGTCAACCGAGCATTGGACAACCAACGATCGGGGGGTGTTTTTAGGACCTGTTCTATGTAATGTTCCCCAATCACTCGGATGTCTTGCCCCAACGTTAGTTTGCCTGCTTCTTTGACCAAGACAGATGTGGCGGCTAGTGCCCTCAGGCAGGTGGGCCACCCTGATGCTACCGGGTCGAGCTTCTTTGATAAGTAGGCTACCGGTCTCTTCCACGGCCCAAGTTCTTGGCTAAGCACTCCTAGAGCAATTCCTCCTTTCTCAGCTACAAACAGCTGAAAGGGTTTGGCAGGGTCAGGCAAGGCCAGAGCCGGGGCAGACACCAACGCCTCCTTGAGGCTCTGGAATGCTTGTCTTTCTTTATCAGTCCACACAAATGATTCTTCTCTCCCCCGGGTTATCTCATGCAGGGGTTGGGCTAGTTCTGCAAACCCTAAAATCCAGAGCCGACAATATCCTACTGCCCCCAGGAACTCACGTACCTGTCGCTTGGTAGTCGGTTCTGGGATTTGTAGGACCGTCTGGATCCGTCGGCTGGATAGGGTCCTCTGCCCCCCCTGTAAGTCATACCCCAAGTAACTTACAGTTTGTGCTACTATCTGGGCCTTCTTGGCAGAGACTTGGTATCCCATCCGCTCCAGGTCTCACAGCAAGTCAACAGTGGCTTTTTCGCAGTCTTCTTTGTCCTTGGCAGCTATGAGAATATCATCTACATACTGCAAGGTTACAACCGACGGGTGTGTGGACCGAAAAGCTTGCAAGTCCCTACTGAGGGCCTCATTAAAAATGGTGGGGGAATTTTTAAACCCCTGTGGTAGATGAGTCCATGTGAACTGACCTACTAGTCCGTTTTCAGGGTCATTCCACTCAAAGGCAAAAATATCTTGGCTTTGTGGGGCCAAGGGGATGCAGAAGAAAGCGTCCTTTAAGTCGAGGACAGAATAATAGGTGTGTGTTGGTGGCAAGGAGCTCAACAGGGTGTACGGGTTTGGCACAGTAGGGTGAATCGTTTCTACCCTCGAGTTCACCTCCTGCAGGTCCTGCACAGGGCGATAGTCCAGTGTCCCTGGCTTTTGGACTGGCAGCAGGGGAGTATTCCAAGCTGACTGGCACTGGCGGAGTATCCCAGCCTTGAGCAAACGCTGCAAGTGCTGCGCGATCCCTTGCTTTGCTCGTGCTGGGACCGGGTATTGCCGTATCCTCACTGGGCTGGCCGTACTCATTAGCTGCACCACGACAGGGGGTTGGTGTGCCGCCAACCCCAGCGGATTGGTTTCAGCCCACACGCCAGGTATTGTTGTCAATAGCTCATCGGGGACCCCTACAGTTCCCTCCTTACCTTCCTGGAGGGTAGCCACTAGATATTCTTCAGACAACGGGACTGTTATCTCAGTTGACTCCGGCCTCTCGATCTTCTGAAGAAGAGTCATCGACTTGTCTGAAAGTAATAGTGGCTCGAAGCTTCTGTAAGAGGTCTCTTCCCAGTAACGGATAGGGGCAGTCTGGAATTACTAGGAAAGAGTGTGTTATTGTTCCCTTTCCTAGGTTAGTTACCCGTGCGGTGGCCCAAGGATATGCTTCTGCTTTGCCTGTTGCCCCAATTATTTTTGTGGTTGCCTTCTGCACCTGCCCTTGTGGCTGCTTCAAGACCGAATAGGTAGCTCCCGTGTCAATCAGGAAATCTATAGGTTTCCCTTCGACATTCAAAGTTACCATGGGCTCTCGGGAGCTGAGTGGGATAGAGCCCCGGCCCCGTCAGTCAAGAGTCTGTAGCAGTACCGGAGGCGCCATCTCGGGTTCTTGTCTCTTTTTCAGCTTTGGACAATCCCGCTTCCAGTGCCCTTCTTCCTTGCAGAAGGCACATTGGTTCTTACCCATGTCTCGCCGGCCTCCCGGTCCTGCTTTTCTACCCTTGTATTCTTTTTTCTTTCCCTTCTCAGGCTGTTGGGCTGCCAATAGAATCTTTGCCATCTCTTTTGCCCTACCTATTTCGGGATCATCTCTATTGACATAAACTTTCTGGGCAATTTCTAATAGCTTACTCCTGTTTTCTCCCTCAAATCCTTCTATTTTCTGCAATTTCTTCCTGATGTCTGGACTGGCCTGTGTGACAAAAGCTATGTTCACTAGTCTCCTGTTTTCCTCTGCCTCCGGGTCCAAAGGTGTATAGACTCGATAAGCCTCCATTAACCTCTCTAGAAATGCAGCCGGTGACTCCTCCCGGCCTTGGATCACTTCACTGACCTTGCTAAAGTTTGTGGGCTTCCTAGCAGCCGCTTTCAGTCCCCTAAGCAGAGCCCGGCGATACTGGAGGAGCGCGTCCCTTCCCCCCGAAGTGTTGGGGTCCCAATTTGGAGGCTGAGAAGGGAGGATGTCCTCAACTTCTCTCCTCCCTGCTAGGGTTTCTCCTTCATCCCCTAAGATGGCCTTGGCTGCCTCCCTAACAATTCTATCTCGTTCTTCAGAAGTGAATAGGGTTTGCAGTATCTGCTGGCAGTCATCCCACGTGGGCTGGTGGGTCCTAAAGATAGTGTCTAAGAGGGAAATCAGCCCCTGAGGCTTCTCAGAAAATGGGGGGTTCTGATGCTTCCAATTATATAAATCACTGGTAGAAAAAGGAACATAAATCAAGCGTGGAGGGGCCCGTGCCAGAGCATCCGGTGCTGGCGGCGCCTCTCGCAGGGGCAAAATGGCCGCACCGTCCCCTCCCGATGCGTAGGGGGTTCCTCCTCTCGTATGGGGTGGGCTCAGAAGTCCCCCAGCGCCTCCCGCAGCCGTGCTCCCACCTGCCATAGGGGCAGGTCCGATTTGACTGGAAGAATCGGGTAGACTCTTAGGGGGATAAGGGGGAGGCGCGTCTGCCGGATCTAGAGAGTCCTCTAGTGGTCCCGGCAAGACTGGATACAGTCCGGACCTCCCTGGTTTAGGCCTGGGGTTAAGGCCTGCCTTCCCTCTACCACCAGGGGTGGTCACACATACCGCCCTTTTCCCCTTCTCGTT